CAGGAATAGGTTCGACATGCTCGGCCGCACGGATCGCGTCGAGACCGGCGTCATAACGCTGCTCCCTCAGGCAATCGATCGCCGAGAGGACATGAAATGCCTCCCTGCGGTTGGGATTGCGCTTGTAGCGTTCAAGCACCAGCACGAAGCGATGCACGCGCTGGCAAAGAGTTTGACGTGTCGCTTCTGCCGCCATGGCGAGGGTGATAACGCACCTGCTGCAGCCGTTCCAGCCCCCAACGCCGCTGCTCTTTCTTCATTCATGGCTCATGCGAGCCCCCGCCGCCTGCAACAGATCCGAGCTACGGACGTAGTATCCGAGAGAAGGAGGTACGAATGGCCCAACAGATCGCAGTTCAAGGCATCGACGGAACGCTTGAAGTGAATGACGATGGCGAACTCGTCCATGTGAAGTCCGCCCTCGAAACCGAGGTCCTGACCGTAGACGACGCAATTCGTCGCTGGCCGCGCGCGGAGAGTGAGATTCTCCTCGCCGTGAGGAAGCTGGATTGACCTTACTTCCCGCTGGCGTGGCAGAAATCAGCCCGGTCGGTCGAGCTCGTGACCGTCTTGGCCTTGAAATCGTAGGTTTCCGTAAATGCCTGCTTCATCGGGGCGGTCCCTTTCTTCCAGTAGACCGTCCGTTCCAGCGTCGTGCCGTTCAGCTTATGGGAGGCGAACGACTCGAGCATGGTGCCGTCAGCCTCCTTGGCACTCCCGAGGGTTACCGGCGTTCCCTCTTCTGAGAGCTTGGTCCTGATGGGACCGCTTACGCCATACAGTTCCTTGCCAATGACCTGATAGGTGGTGGGCTCTTTCATCGGAACGCCTCGATAGAGGAGATGGCAATCGAGCGAGAGCGATGGGGCCGCTGACGAGGACGGCGGCGCGGTCTGGGCCTGCGAGGTCACGGTCACAAGCGTGATGAGAACAGCACCGCTCGACAATGCCAGCTTCATGCAAAACCTCCGGGAAAATGTCCGCAACTTAATTCACGAAAACCCGGAAGGTTGCCGTACGGTCTTTCTCCTCATGCAGCCCGCATGATGCGATCGTACTGCTCTTCAGGCACGCCGTAGAAGCCTTGCGCTGTCTTTTCGAGGCCGCAGCGATCGAGCACCTGGACCGCGCCGCGCATCGAGCGGATGAGCTGCTTTCCCTCCAGGATGTGCAACGCAACCGTAGCGCTCGGTCGGCGGATGCCGAGGAGCAGGGCCAGGAACTCGTGGGTGATGGGCAGCACGTCGCTGCGCAACCGGTCGCTCCACATCAGGATCCAGCGCGCCAGGCGCTCCTCGATCTTTCCCAGACCGTTGGCCAAGGCCGTCTGCGAGGCCTGGACGTTGAAGGCCTGCACATAGCGCAACAGCAATGCGCGCAGGCTCGCGCTTTGGTCCATCGCAGCGTGGA